CCCTAATTTTGCAATATTGCGATTTGTCACGCCATTTGGTTGCAAGCTCTGAATTGAATCATTCCGTTTTTTCCTGTGCTTTGACTAGCACCAATGCTCGCATGCCACTCGTCGTCCCTGCCCGACCTGTCTCGCTCCGAACAGGGGCGTCCCTTACACACTTTCGGGTGACCTGAGCTCCCTGCGCTAACTTGAGCCCCTCTCCCAATGCTCCTCCGAACCCTCTCAATGCGTATGAGCATAGAGGGAACAGAAAAAAGAAGAACAAACTCACATTCAAGAACTGAAATCTGGGCGAAATCAGGTTTTGGGAGGGGGATTAGGTCAACATTTTCGGCTGAGTCCCCCCCCCCAAACCGATTTTAGACAGGAACACTCGTAACTCCGACACTTTGCTAGCCTTTCCGCCCTTCCGAACAGCCGCAAGTCGCACATTTCACCATCCTTCGCCCGGCTCTGGCCGGCTTTCTCTGGGCGCCCCCGGCCTGTGGGGCTCCTTCGGGGAAGGAGCCGGCCGGCCGTCTCCAGCCCGCCCACCTCCCCGGCCCCGAACCGGGCGCGCACCGTCCGCCGCCGTCACCACACACGATTACGTCACACCGGCGAAGACGGCAGTAGTCTCATGACGTCACAGCGGAGCTTAAAAGGAAAAAACCCGGACCGCTGCGGGTCATTTGTCACTCGTTGGCGGTGGAAAACGGTCGCGCGCGCTACCTCACCAGGTGAGGACACGGCGCTGACCTGGCGAGCGGTCCCGGGAGCCTCCGGACAGTGCAGTGCAGTGTCGCGCGCCGTGCCCGTCTCCGAAGCCACTGGTGTGCTGACTGACGCGCGCCACCGTCTTGCAGGTGACGTCATGAAACTTCTGCTGCTCATCACGCTGTCGGCTGTGGCCGCGGCCGCGGAGACCCTGGGCGACGAGGCGGATCCTCGCTTCGCGTTCATCAACGTGGAGGACAACGGACTGCGCTTTGAAGTGAACAACACCAGCATCGCCTACGGCGTGGTCACAGTGGTGATCGTGGCCGTTCTGCTGCTCATCCTGATCCCGCTGCTCAGCTCGTTCGGAGGAGGTGGCGAGGAGACTGGATACGGCAGCACCGGCTACGACACCGGCTACAGCAGCTACAAGAGGTGGGGGATCTGTGCGAAGTAGTGGCACGGAGGAGATTGTGGGCACAGTCTCACCGGCCTGAGTTCATGCGACCAGTGACTAGCTTTTGTGCCACCTGGATGGCCAGTTGCAATGTAAGCATAGGCTTTCTAACGCATAAACTTGCTTAGAGCAAATGCAGCCAACCGCTTGACTGAACAGCTTCATTTGCATTGGTTTTGCTAAAACATTATATGGCAATGCGGTCGCTGCTGTAACCACTTTTTAGGTCACAATTTTTTGTCACTTCTGCTATTGTTTCGATAAAGGTATGTTGCCGAACTATCAACCCAACCATATCTCCACTCTCCTGGTTTTTCTCTGAGGAATAAGGCTGGTACTACTGTCGTATCTATGTGAATAATGCTCCTCGCTAATGCCCTGGACACCTTACATCAAATATTGTTCCACTTTGCAGGTCGCTTGATTCGGCCATGCCAATTCTTCATCATCTGCAGGAAGCTTGGGAGAAGTTCCAGTGATTCTGCCTCGGCTGCCGAGGTCTCATTTCAAGATCCAGCGCAGTCCCGCGACCTGACCCGGATCGTCGAGTCTTGTAATGGGTTATCAGCGTACTGCACGAGACGCACTGAGCTATGAGCTCCGCCTCGCCATTCCCTAGTGACTTTGTCTCCTCGGCGGATCCCGCCCAGGTCGTGCTCTGGCCGGTTCAGACGTGTCAGCTCAGGGTCCGGGCACGTCACGTGTGGCACCACGGGTGTTCAGTTACACTCAGGGACGGGTCAGGAGGCCGGCTTGCTTGCAGCGACGCGAGTCGCTGCATGTGATACCAAATGAGTCGGCGTGTGCTTGAAGAGTGAAACAGTTTCAAGGCTGCTATCTTCCCCGGAGCAGAACTTCTTTCGTTGCGTTATGGTCAATTTTTCTCGCTAAAGATGTAGTGATGAAGATGTAGCAAACCATACCATAACGCCACGTATTTCGTTGTGTTATGGTCAAATTTTCTCGCTAAAAAATGTAGTGATGAAGATGTAGCAAACAATCAAAATCAACGGCAGGGTCAGAGGACTATAAACCAGTCCAACACTCAGCTGTCGTTTTGCTAGAATGCTGTTTATTGTTATTTGCCAGTTGTTACCAACTTGTTGATGTTTTTAGCAACGCTTAGACCAACATTTTCTATGAATGTATCCATGATGTTTTTTGCCTTTTGTATATCGCTAATTGCCGCTTGTTTTGTTGGCGATCTGTGAACCGATGGCATGAGCTACTTGCGAGTGTATGCATCATGAGAATATGGGACCGTGCATCGCCTCATTCCCACCGGAAGTTGTTGACATTTGAGTTGTTGCGATGTCTTTCCTAAATAGATTGGGTCTGCTAAAACCGCTTTCAAACTCATGCTTCTCCAAGGCATCACAGTGACGTGTTTGAAAGGAGTACTTTTGATAATAGTTAACACCGAACAAGGGAGGTTTTGTGATTGTTGCACTTCTTCGGCTCACCGCGCCGTAATTCTGCCGTCCAAAAGGTAACACTCCATATGCTTATTTTTTCACTTAACGTTTTTATGTCATCTAATTTGTCTACTCATGCTGAATTCGGTTATTTAAGCCATCGGTTGAAATTTCACCAACTTCTAGTCCTTTCCTGTAGCCAAAAGTGGACGAAAATTTCAACTGCTAGTTTAAATTTCCCAAGTTAGCATGAGAACACGAATCAGGCAAAGGCAAAATGTCCAGAAATGAGCATATGAGGTTCTACTTCTAGACGGTAACGTGACGTTATGGCTCAAGGACCCGCTGTGGTGCCAATTTCAGTCAAGTACACCGACCTCTCGCATTGCTCACATTCGAACTAAAGCCTCGGAAAACCTAAACATTAGAAAGTGAGGGGCTGGTAAAAACTGAACTACATATGCTTTTGGTACACTCGGTCCATGACAGCAAGCCTTGCATATTTCACATGCCAATTAAGAGCAGGTCCTGTTATAACTCTTGTCGGATTCTTTGAATACCTTTGTGGCCGCCGTAAGCTTACAGAGGGCAATGATTTTGATGTTGTGCTCCAGGGAAGGCGGTGCTCCCTGCTCATGAGGCTATATTCTTACGCAGCAGCTGAAAAGCATAACAGACTCATCCAGAAACAATAAGGTACAACGCTCCGCTTAGCGCAGATGTAGAACCCATTTCCCTGACGCCACGTGAAAAAATAAACATAATTTTGCGCATTTATACCATAGGTATACAGACTAGATAGGACAGGTGAACGGAGTGGTCCGCTTGCTGGTACGTAAAGCCAGCCGCCGTATTGGTAAAGACAAGAAACATAGACTGACTCTGACGGAGCCATTGCAGCACGCGGGGCGAGGAAGTCGCTTTGTAAGATCGTGAACACAAAAATTAAAACCAGAACTGATTTTGAAAGGCCTTCCGAGATAAGGTCATATGCTAACGATCCTGAAGCATCAGTGCCTTGTATTTCACTGTTCAATGAATTACCCGCATGGAGAAGTCCCCGCCGACCTCCACGACCGCTGCCTGCGCGGACGGTCCACCGTGCTCACACCGAGCGATAGTGGGGCCGCTACCTTCCTGCCTACCTGACGCTTCAGAATTCCACAAGAGTCGGCTGCAACCGTACCCGATGTGTACGGGTACAACCGTTCACCGACAGCCGACAACCGTTCGGAAAGCCTGTGGAGCGTGGATGGTTCCGCTGGCCCGGACGGTTCCGCCGCGCTCACGCCGAGCATCGGCCGGGCTACCGTTCCACCTGGTGTTCGTGGGGCAAGTGCCGTAGGGCTCACCCGCCGTCGTGCCGGATTTCGCGGGCGTCCACGGGCGCAATGTTTGATACTGCCGTTGGGTGGACGTCAACACACCAGGTACCGCGGAGATGCTGCCAATGTCCACGGGTCGGCAGCCGCGTTTGTGGGGACGACGTACGAGTCGCTGCCGAATCCGCATCGTGCGTGGCGTGATGTCGCTTTCCGCTGCCTTCGTAACTGGCACGGTCTTCACAGACAGATGAGAAGCGCAAGTGCTCGCCACACTCAGATGTATTGGGCAACCCAGTAGGCACCCGGTTAGGTCAGGGACTGGTTAACTAGTATCTAATAATTGGAATGAATGCTTATGTCACTCATCACCAGTTAGCTACTTACAAAATGCATTTCACAGCAATAACAGGAGCATATATCCGACCGACCGGATCGGACCAGCAGACCGGACCGTCATGAGGCGCCACAAACGTCTCCCAAGAGCGAAGACTGGGATTCGCGCGCAATTTTTGTGTGAAATGACAGTACACCATTCAGTTACGAACAGTTATAAAGCTAACTGATACAGAACATCGATCAAACGTCGCACAGACCTTTACATACTTGTACACCACACATCAAAACACAACCTGGACAAAGACTGGGTCTCTGGCGCACTTTTTGTGCGAAATGACAGTGAAACTGTATTCAGTTACGAACAATTATGAAGCTACCTGGTACAGAACATTATCAAACGTCAAGACCCACGATCAAATGTCAATCAATGGGAAAGTGAACGAAGTTGTATCTATTGGTGTCTGAGAATACAATTACTCAGGTATCTTGGGTGCACGAGCAGGCACCCGGCCAGGTCAGGGATTGGTTAGCCATTTCCTTATAAATGGAACCAATATTTATGAGCACTCAATACCAGATAGCTACGTACACAACGATGATTATCGCAGTAATGACAGAAATAAATATAATAGCGCAACTTCACATTTTAACTATCTGACAATGTCATGATGCATAGTGGTCTAGCGTAAATATTTAAGTGACCTGGCAATGCCATGACATCCGTGCTTTATCTAGTTCATAAGTCCGCAGCACTCCTTGATCCCACATATTCATTATTCACCCGATTATGCAGCTGCAGCACATATATCGTCCTTCAACAGGTAGTCTTCACGATCCGTCCACGAGGGCTGACTAGCTCCCGGGTACGCGCAATTCGCCGCACGGGTCGTCGCAATGTGCCACAGACGTCATCCAAGAAAGACGTTTAGGAGTCGCGCGTGGTTTTCCTACGAGCTGACAGCAAAACTTCACCTTAATTACGAGCAATGACGACACTACCTGATAAATAACATTGATGAAACGTCGCGCACAAATCCGCATCCTTCAACATCGCACATCATAACATCCAGTTCTTTCTACGAAATCCCAGATCACGTACAACAGAAGCACAAAAAACAGATAGCAGGGTATACGCTGGACGAGTCTGATGCCCGGAGAGCTGTAAAAACTCTAGGAAAGGGCATCTGCTGGCTACGCCACCGGACAAATGAAGACAGAATACCGGCAGCTACATCTGGCCTTAAGTCCTCTAAACAGCACCGCTTTAGTGATTTTTACGGATCCCGTTCCTCTGCAGACCTGCGTTGTGTAACTTCGCCTGGTGATGGAGGTACGCCCTTTGGCAGGTAGCCACAGGCATCCTGATCAGTTTGGCGTGGTAGTTTTCCGAACCGAGGTGAGTTTGCTGGGGTGGCGGCCGGGATCTCACATGTTATCGGTACCGATGCGGCACACCACCGCACTCTCCAACATCCGCTAGGACACCGCATGGTAAGCCGCATTCAGCTGCACAGTGCAGCTGGATGGAGCACAGTGCAGCTGCTCCTGCGGAGGAATCCACCCACCCAACGCGATCTTTTAGACATAGACGGTGGCGTAAGGATGTGAGGTCGTGGAAATCCCGAAGGCTCACCAATGCTTGTTGGTAGGCGGCGTAGCCTACTCTGTCTAGTGCCCTTCGGACGACGAACGGGGCGATGTAGCAAACAGCATTGGTGACCACAAAGGACAGCCCCGGTCGGTAGTCATGATCACCCAGTATATCAAGCACCTCGGTGCCTCCGGTGTCATACGTGTCACCTGCACCCCGCTTGCTGGGACCGTGACCCACAGCTGGGATTGATGCGGGATCCAGCCTTGTGATGTTCCCGCTGCGCCCCGTGTGAGTGCCGAAATGTCACGATGAACTGGCTGGTGCTCGGGTTGTTGCTGCACCCACCTTTAAGTTCATGACTGGGACATTTCACGATTCATCGACAAGCACCTTACACTCTCATCCCCCGGCTTTTAATTCAAAGGAGTTCAGGGATCGTCACCAGCGCTGAAGTCGCCTGTGACACTTTGAAATCTTCTAGTTGCACCGTTTTGGAGTTAAAGCCTTCGGCAACTTTGATTCCTGTAGTTGCAAGACGACCTTCGGTGGCAAGTTTATCCCTTTGTTGGTAGGATAATTTGGCAAACGTATCATCATGATGTATGTACGTATGATCAGAAAACTGTCCTGAATATCTGCATGTTTCTCTTGAAATCATCATCGCAGACTACATGATGATAATTATAAACTTTTGAAAAAAACGAAGAACTATTTTCTTATCTGATAATTATTTTGTTCTCCATTGCATGTGAAGAGCGTAAGTGTGGTCCCTTGATTCACAAAAATAAAAAGGTGGTTATGTGCTTAGAAAGACATGGCTCGTGCACCGACGAATCACGCGTAATGTACGAAGACTGGGCGTGCCGCGCACCGCCGCAGCCGAACCTGAGCCGGTGAGTGCGCACCGTGAGATCGCTGTCGCCTCCCATTTACGTGGGGCGACTCAGAAGTCTGATAAGCGTCCACTGAGAGGGCATTGGACTCGTGCTTGTTGTGCGGCTGGAGCACGTGGTTGCTGTCAGTGTCTTAAACAACCCCAGATGTGCCGATCTACTGGAAAAGGCACGAAACGGAAGCACGGCGAGGCTTAAAGGGAGTATGCCACCCGCTATGTACCTCCGCTTATTGTTAGATCAGATACATCCGATTTGACCAATGATGGTGGCTTTCTTGAAACCCTTCTGAAAAGCTCAGAATTTTTTATCTAAGTAGCTACTCGTGCGGGGCAAATTTTACTACACTCCTTGCTCACCCACCACCGATCAAGTAATGCCTTTCGGTTCACCTTCTCTCCAACCGGTGTGTTCTGTAATGCTAAAACCGACTAATTTGTCAAAACGTTTGCATAGTAAATACTATCCAAGCTTGAGACACTTTGTGTAGATATATATATATATATATATATATATATATATATATATATATATATATATGTGCAATCATGGCCCTGTCACCCCACGAATACTGCGTTCCGATGGGTAGCGGCGGCACTCACGCGGTTTGCGTGTGCTGATATCACCAGGACACGAAGCTGGTGGTAAGATCTCCTGGCCTGCGAGATGTTCCTTAAAAGGACCTACCGAGTCATGCCGCGTGTGATGTTCATAAGGAATCCTTCGTGCTGCAGAAGTTTCAGAATTGTCCGCTTTTGAGACGGTGTGTGATCATTTTTGA